GATTGAGGTTAAGGTGTCGCATAACGAGTCTCATTTGTTGTTCCAAGTTATTTATTTGTTCGTCCTTCTGAACAAGTAAATTATTCAAACGATGCACTTCTTGGGTCAATTGCTCGTCTTGTCGTGACCTCCTTCGACCAGTCGCAGTGGATGATGAACTTCCAGGATTATTCGGCATGTACATCTTTGACAACGATCCCATCCCAAATATTTTCCCTTTTTTCACCCCACCCGTTGCCTCCATCCATAATGCCATAGTATCAACTGATGGCCCGGACTCAGGACAATCATCACTACCACGAGCACTACTCATTAAAAGTTCATCATATTTTTCCTACATTAACAATGTAGATGAAAATAAAATCACTATATATATATCTACCATAAATATTGAAAGCATTCACGGTTTTCATTATAGTTTACATATAAGCCAAAGTATAACCTTACATACCTTAACAGCTTTTGCTCGATCGCCAGTCCATGTCTTATCTTTCTTTTGAAATGTGCGTTCAAATGTAGCTGCAAATGTTGGTTCCGTCCCCAATTCTTGTGCCTACAAAATGTAAACATGAGTAATTGAATTAAATTAACTTATAACTCATTTAACAGACTTACCAGTCGTTTGCGATGCTCCGCAATGTTGATAGAGCCCCCAGCATATGTGGCTGACCCATCACTAGAACTAGAAGATCGATTCTTCTTATTCTGCTCACAGAGTTGCCGACTCTGTTCAGATGCCCAAAATCTATTAATTGCCGCCCAAATGTCAGCTGTAAAGAAAGACGGCTTCACTTGCTTGATCTTCGCTCTATTCATGACATTTCGCATAAAATCACCGTTTTCTTATCGAAAATTCTTCTCACTTCATTGTTTTCCGCTTCCTCTCACTTGAACTTCTGTTGCAATGAATAAAAACACAAATTGAAAGTTATTATGATGATCACATATCCATAACCATGCACCAGACAAATATAGACAGATTTTGTAAAGTTCATGTCGGGGAAAATATCTGGTCCTTTAGGTATCGAAAACTACAGAGTTGTTCTGGTCCCTTTACATCATTCTTGACCATCAATATACTACACCAAACTTAATTGGTGAGAAAATAAAATATGTAAAACTTACCTTAAACTCATTCCACCACATTTCTTTCACTTCTTGTGGAACACTTCTGTAAATAATATACTCTCCCATCCAAAAGTTTCTTACTATTTTGTTCAATTCCCTCACAACAGACGAAGCATCCGTGAATCTGCAATCATACGGATATTGTGCAACATCGACAATTCAGTTGACATCAATATCTAAAGCCCTAAATATTACATATACTAAAATAAAAATGAAGTACTTACGAATCTCCAAATGGGCATATGAAGAATCGGTTATCTTCTTGACCTGTGTTTCCGTCAATATTCGATTGTTCCGCCGAATAATGGGGTGGAACGGAAGGAGAGGGAGCTAAAGGAGATTGAACTGGAGGAGATTCAGTTCGCATGTGGCCAAGTCCCGTAACATGTTGTTGAGTGTTGGAGGAAGGGCCAACATGTCCATATTGTGACGGACCATATTGTGGTTGAGGGTTAGATGACGGGACAGGGGAAGAGGAAAGGGCCGGAGACGAGGACGAGGAAGAGGAAGAGGCTTGTCTTCTATACGAATGACCTCCACGTTTATATTGACAAGTAGGAAGGTTATGCGAATATGTAAAGAACTATTGACACGTATTACGGACACATAATGATGTACATGACGAAGCTTACCATTTTGTTGGAAAGACTAAGAAAATGTTTCCTTGAAATGAGCCAATGTCGAGTGCTTATGACGTGCAATTTCCTATGAACAAATATACTATGAATTCCATTCATTTTGATATGAAACATCAATATATGAGCACGATATGGGTGGCCACAGGTATCAAACATCACTATATGAATCGCATTCATTTTGAATAAATTTTTTTTGACCACGTACAAAAATTTAAATTTCACTGAAAGTGGGTGGCCACAGGTATTCTAAGTCATTTTGTAAAGTTTTGTAAGAGAAAAATTGTTATTATTGTTAAATTTTTTTTGGCAACTAAAAAAAAAATTTCACTAAAAGTTGGTGGCCACCGATATTCTAAGACATTCTGTAAAGTTTTGAAATTTAAAAATTTTTAGAATTTTTAAATTATTATTTTTTAATATAAAATTTTTTCCGTGAAATAAAAAAAAAATTTCCATACAAAAATTGGGTGGCCACAGGTAGTCTAAGCTATTAGGTAAAGTTTCCAAAATTTTTGTCCTTCTTTATTTTAATAATTTTTAGGGCACGTTAAAAAAATTAAATATAACTAAAAGTGGGTGGCCACAGGTATTATAAGCCATTCCGTGAAGTTTTAAAAATTTTTAAATTCTATTTTTTTTTTGCCACCTAAAAAAATTTAAATTTCACTGCAAGTTGATGGCCACATGTTTTCTAGGCAATTCTATGCAGTTTTGAAATTTTATATTTTTTTAATTTTTTTTTTCACCCAAAAAAAATAAAAATTTCCCTCACAATGGGTGACCACATTTATTTTAAGCCATTTTATAAAGTTATGAAAATTTTTAATATTTTTAATATTTTTTGTCCCGGAATGTTAAAAAATCTAAATTTCACTAAAAATGGGTAGTCACTATTAATTTTTGCCATTTTGTGATATTATAAAATTTTAGTTTTTTAAAAATTTTCAAAAACTTTACTGTCAAATTTCATATTTGTTGCCAACATATACCGTGTTTTTAATTTTCCGTAATTTTTCATGATTTTTCATAGAATTGTTCAATTTTCAAGCATTTTCTGTGAAAACGCTTAATCAATCACCCTATCATCATTTAACGCTTAATCATCCACATAATAGACAAATTAACCAGTCGACCATCAATCAAAGCCACATGCAATCCTGAAATCGACCCGCAACTTAGCCAACGAAAAGTGATCCTAAATAATCCCTAAACAAGTCCGACTAATTACCTAATTATACTAACTAGGGTTTAGGGAGTTGCTTACTTGGTTCAAGGACAACAAAAACTGGCCGATCGAACAGTGGCGGTCCCGGCGCGGGCGTGGGCCCAAATGGTGACTAGTCGGCCAGGTGCTCGGCCACGACCTGGCGAACGACTGCGGAGCTCGGCCGCGACGGCGTCGGGCGGCGGCGACGGCGTCGGGCGGTGGCTCGGCGGCGGTTCGGTGGCTACGGCGTCGGGCGGCGCGAGCGGCGTCTCGCGGCGAGTAGGAGGCGGGTGGCCGGCGGCGACGGTGGGCGTGCTCCCGGCAAGGGCGGCAACGGGCGAGGGGCTGCTCCGGCGAGAGCCTCGGCCGGGCGATGGTGGGGCGGCAACGGCGACGCGCGGCTGCGGGTCGACGGCGTGGGGCGGCTCCTGCCGGGCGGGCAAGGGCGGCGAGGCCGGGCGGCGACGGCGTCGGTCTCGCTGGTCGGCGGCGGCGAGGCTCAGTGCCACCGCTCGGACGCAGCCGAGGATGGCGAGGCGGGGCGGAGGCGAGGTGCGACCGGGCGGCGGGGAGGCGACGGGCGGGGAGCTGCGGCGGCGGCGGCCCGCGACCGGCGACGGCGGGGGGCTCGCGGGGGACCGGCGACGGGCGGGGGAGCTGCGGGGCGGCCGCAAGGTTGGACGGCGACGGCGACGGCGACAGGCTGCGACGGCGAGGGCGCGACCGGCGGAGGGGGCGGGCGACGGGCGGGGGCAGGCGATCGGCCCGCGACCCCCGACGGGCGGGGGGGCCTGCAGGGCGACGGGCGACGGGCGTGGTAGCTGCGGGGCGTGATGCATGCGTCACACCAACATCTTCAGCTTGTGCCCCACTTGTTATTATGCTTACATGGAATTAGTTCACCACATATATTGCTGATTGAAGAGAAGCATTGAAGTCATTCTGGTGGTTTAATGAACGGTGCGTGAACAGTCCGAATTTGGAGTATTAATTGTTGTGGAAGTGGTGCGAATCTGGTCAAGAGCATTAAATGTCATCTTCTCGTTGCCAACTTCTTTTATTTTAATGATTTCAAGTTTCTAAGTTTAGATTCAAAGTTTTTGCTGAGTCTTAGGAATTAAATAAGGTTCTTAGAAGCTGATTGAACTCTATGTAAACCCTCTTGGGCGTCACTTTGAGGGATGACCATTTTGAATGAATATTGAGAGTTTTCTCTTGCAATTCTATTGCAAAACTTAAGGTTTCGTATCACTTAGTGGATTCTAAGTGTGGTGAGCCTCCTTGAGCATCGTATCCTTGTTTGGTGGTGGTTCGACCTATATCCAAACCTGGTGGTGAGCTCGTCCAATTTATCCTTCTTTTTCGCACAACAAAACCTAACCTTTTCGCAACCAAGCGAGACCGATTCGCATCATTTGGCGCCGTCTGTGGGAAAAGGTTCCATTTGTGCAAATTTCCTATTCCAAACACCCCCTTTCACCTTCTTAAACACTTACCAGCCTAAAAATCACTTCTTTTCAGCCTAAACACTTATTACAGTCCCTAAAACGCTCCAGACTTTGAGTATTGAAATGGCAAACGAATTTCAACGTGGATTGACGTTTGAACAAGCTCGCTCTATGCGAATGGAACGTGAAATCGTAGATCTCAGACGCCAATTACAGCAGCTCTTGAATGATCGAGGAGCAAGCATCTTCCAACGTAAGTTCCGGAGAGGAAGAGGACAATCCTTTTCACGAGCAACCAAGTGACGATGAGATTCAAGGAAGGAGGCGGCCCGATTTCGTCCTCAAAAGAATGACTCGATATTAAGGTTGAAATACCGAGTTTGAAGGTAAACTCTCACCGATGACTTCCTTGATTGGCTCCATACAATAGAAAGAGTGTTTGAATATAAGGAGTATTCGGAGGAGAAGAAAGTTAAAATTGCAGCCTTGAAATTGCGAAAATATGCAAGCCTATGGTGGGAAAACCTTAAAGCTCAGCGAGTTCGTGAGGGAAAGAGCAAAATTCGTACTTGGGATAAGATGAAGAGAGAGATGAAAAAGCGTTTCTTACCCGAGAACTATAGGCAAGATCTGTTCTTAAAGCTTCATTCTTTGAAACAAAATGATCTGAGTGTTGAAGAGTATACTCGAGAATTTGAACAACTCATGATGAAGTGTGATGTTTCTGAGTCCCAAGAACAAACAATCGCTCGTTATTTGGGTGGTTTGAAGAAACATATTGCTGACTCAGTGGATTTACAGCCATATTGGAGTTTTCTTGATGTATGCAAGCTTGCCTATAAAGTTGAAAAGCAACAAGACACCTCCAAGAAATCGGCTTACAAACCATTCATAAAGGGAGCTTCTTCCAGCAAAGGGAGTTCGTCTTTTCAAGCTGAGAAGACCACGGTGAGAAAGGACAAGGCAAAAGTTGATTCTCAGCCCATGACAACCACTAAGGAGAGAAGATGTTTCAAATGTCAAGGATATGGGCATATTGCATCTGAATGTCCCAATCGGCGCACAATCACTCTCAAAGAAGTCGTAGAAACTAACGTCGAAGAAGATGAACCAATTTGGGATCCAGATGAAGAGGAAGAGTATGTGGAGCAACCTGATGATGGTGAACTACTTGTGATTCGCAAGTCTTTGAATTCAAATATGGCGCCTATGGAAGAGCAAAGAGAGAACATCTTTCAAACAAGATGTACCATCAAAGGGAAGGTATGCCATGTTATTGTTGATAGTGGTAGCTGCACTAATGTTGCTTCCGCGACCATGATTGAAAAGTTAAGTTTACCTACGATGTCACACCCTCAGCCTTACAAACTCCAATGGCTAAACAAGGGGAGTGATGTGAAGGTAACTAAACAAGCATTAATCTCATTTTCAATTGGGAAACATTATCAAGATAAGGTTACGTGTGATATAATCCCTATGGATGCTTGCCATTTGTTACTTGGAAGACCATGGCAGTATGATCGAAAGGCGATGCACGATGGATTCAAGAATACTTATTCTATCCATTTAGGGCAGAAAAGAATCACTCTTACCCCATTGTCTCCAAGCTGTGATGAACGTGATCGACATGAAGAGAATGGAGTAGCTGGCCATTTTCTTAGCCAGGCTGAACTTCGTGAAACTTGCTTGAAGAAGCAACAAATTTATGCGCTACTTTTGCTTGAGCAGAATGTGGTCCATGAAGATTTGATTCATCCTTTAGTCATGACATTGCTGAATGAGTTTGCTGATGTCTTCCCTGAAGAGATGCCATCCGGCTTACCTCCAAAGAGGGAGATTCAACACCAAATTGATTTAATGCCCGGCGTACCGTTACCAAACAAACCGGCATATAGATGCAACCCGGAGGAGACTAAAGAGCTTCAACGACAAGTAGATGAGCTGATCTCCAAAGGCTACGTACGAGAGAGCTTGAGTCCATGTTCTGTACCAGCCATTTTGGTCCCCAAGAAGGATGGTTCGTGGAGGATGTGTATGGACAGCCGTGCCATCAACAAAATTACGGTAAAGTATCGTTATCCCATTCCACGACTTGATGATATGCTAGATGAATTGCATGGTGCCACTATTTTTTCTAAGGTAGATCTTCGGAGTGGTTATCATCAAATTCGAATGAAGGAAGGTGATGAGTGGAAAACGGCTTTCAAAACCAAGGGAGGCCTCTATGAGTGGCTTGTCATGCCATTCGGGTTATCCAATGCCCCTAGTACGTTCATGAGGCTAATGAACCACATTCTGAAGCCATTTATTGGAAAATTTGTTGTTGTATACTTTGATGATATCCTTGTTTACAGCCGAAATGAGGAAGAACACTTACAGCATTTGAGGAAGCTATTTGAAGAATTGCGTATTCAGCGATTATTTGGCAATCTTAAAAAGTGTCATTTTTTTACCTCAAGTGTTGTCTTCTTGGGATATGTTATTTCAAGTGAAGGCATTCAAGTGGATGAAAGCAAGATAGAAGCAATCCAAACCTGGCCGACACCCCAATCAGTTCATGACGTGAGGAGTTTTCACGGTTTGGCTTCTTTTTATCGTCGCTTCATTAAAATTTTCAGCACTATTATTGCCCCACTTACCGATTGCTTGAAGGGAGAAAAGTTTTTATGGACTTCTATGGCTCAGCGAAGCTTCGAGGCTATTAAAATGAAGCTTTGTGAGGCCCCGGTCCTTGCACTTCCCAACTTTGAAAAGCTTTTTGAAGTTGAATGTGATGCATCTGGCATTGGAATTGGAGGAGTTCTACTTCAGCAAAATCGACCAATCGCTTATTTTAGCGAGAAGCTCAATAGCTCTAAGCTGAACTATTCAACCTATGACAAAGAATTTTATGCCATCATTCGAGCATTGGAGCATTGGAGCCATTATTTGCTGCCAAAGGAGTTTGTTTTGCATTCAGATCATGAAGCCTTGAAGTTCATCAATGGCCAACACAAGCTGAATAAAAGGCATGCTAAATGGGTTGATTATCTTCAATCCTATTCTTTTGTGATCAAGTACAAGACTGGACGTACGAATGTTGTGGCTGATGCACTCTCCCGGAGACATTCTTTTCTGACCTTGATGGATTCCAAGCTTTTAGGATTTGAGGTAATCAAAGAACTCTATGCTGATGATGTAGACTTCAATCCTATATTTACAGCATGCAAGAAAGGTGCAGCAGACCATTTCCATATCCAAAATGGTTTTCTCTTCAAAGACAACAACAAGTTGTGCGTTCCTCAAAGTTCCACAAGGGAGTTATTGATTCGAGAAGTTCATGGAGGTGGTATTGCTGGTCATTTTGGAGTCAACAAAACTTTGGCTATGCTACAAGAACATTTTTATTGGCCAAATATGGCGAAGGACGTCCAGAGTATCCTTAAGCGCTGTGTGACGTGCCAAAAGGCCAAGAGCCACGTTCTTCCACAAGGATTATACATGCCATTGCCAATTCCTAAAGTTCCATGGGAAGCTGTGAGTATGGATTTTGTCCTTGGTTTGCCGAGAACTCAAAGGCAAAAGGATGCTGTTATGGTGGTTGTGGATCGATTCTCGAAAATGGCTCATTTTGTGCCTTGCCATAAAACCGACGATGCTTCTCACATTGCTGACTTATATTTTCGTGAGATCATTCGACTCCATGGAGTTCCTCGCACTATTGTATCATATCGGGATAGCAAATTTCTAAGTGGTTTCTGGAAGACTTTATGGAGTAAGCTTGGCACAAAACTTCTATTCAGCACATCATGTCACCCACAAACCGATGGGCAGACCGAAGTTGTTAATCGTACGATGGGAGCTATATTGAGAACTTTAGTGTCCAAAAATCAGAAAGATTGGGACTTAAAGCTTGCTCATGCTGAGTTTGCCTACAATCGAGCTCCTAATCGCACCACAAAGTGCTCTCCTTTCGAAGTTGTTTATGGAATCAATCCACTTACTCCTGTGGATTTGCTGCCCTTGCCAACCAAGGATTTGGTGCATCATGAAGCTGATCAACGCGCTAAAGTGATGAAAGATTTCCATGCAAAGATCGAGATCTCAAATTGAGAAGCAAAATGAGATTTATCGAAAAAGGCTAATAAGAACAAGCGAGCTGTTGTTTTTCATCCAGGAGACTTAGTTTGGATTCATTTGAGAAAAGAGAGATTTCCTTCTAAGCGCAAGTCGAAGCTAATGCCGAGAGCCGAAGGACCATTCAAGGTTTTGGAACGAATCAACGACAATGCCTACAAGATTGATATACCAGGTGATTTTAATGTTTCAGCAACCTTTAATGTTCGAGATCTCTCTCCATATGAGTCAGACGAAGATTATCAAGATTTGAAGACAAATCTTTTTCAGCAAAGGGAGGATGATGCATGCGTCACACCAACATCTTCAGCTTGTGCCCCACTTGTTATTATGCTTACATGGAATTAGTTCACCACATATATTGCTGATTGAAGAGAAGCATTGAAGTCATTCTGGTGGTTTAATGAACGGTGCGTGAACAGTCCGAATTTGGAGTATTAATTGTTGTGGAAGTGGTGCGAATCTGGTCAAGAGCATTAAATGTCATCTTCTCGTTGCCAACTTCTTTTATTTTAATGATTTCAAGTTTCTAAGTTTAGATTCAAAGTTTTTGCTGAGTCTTAGGAATTAAATAAGGTTCTTAGAAGCTGATTGAACTCTATGTAAACCCTCTTGGGCGTCACTTTGAGGGATGACCATTTTGAATGAATATTGAGAGTTTTCTCTTGCAATTCTATTGCAAAACTTAAGGTTTCTGTATCACTTAGTGGATTCTAAGTGTGGTGAGCCTCCTTGAGCATCTGTATCCTTGTTTGGTGGTGGTTCGACCTATATCCAAACCTGGTGGTGAGCTCGTCCAATTTATCCTTCTTTTTCGCACAACAAAACCTAACCTTTTCGCAACCAAGCGAGACCGATTCGCATCAGGGCGGCTGCGAGGCTGGGCGGCGACGGCGACGGCTGCGGGGTAGCTGCGCAGATCGGGCTTGGGCGGCGTTGGGGAAGGGGGGGAGGAGGAGGGGGTAATAATGTCGCAAATTTGCGACGGACCTAATGTCCGTCGCAAATTTGCGACAGAACTTAAAGTGTCCATCGCAAATTTGCAACGGACTTTCTATGTCCGTCGCAAATTTTCGACCGACAAAAAATTTCCGATGGAAATAAAAATCCGTCGCAAATTTGCGACGTAAAAAAAAATCAGTTGCAAATTTGCGACGGAAATAAAAATCCGTCGCAAATTTGCGACGGATTAAATTATCCGTCGCAAATTTCGAGCGGTAAAAATTCCCTCGAGAAATTTGCGACAGACCAGTATAGTCCGTCGCAAATTTGCGACGGACAGGTTAAGTCCGTCGCAAATTTGCGACGGAACTCCACTTTCCGTCGCAAATTTGCGACGGATTAAATTATGTCCGTCGCAAATTTTCGACCGACAAAAACTTTCCGACGGAAATAAAAATCCGTCGCAAATTTGCGACGTAAAAAAAAATCCGTGGCAAATTTACTACGGAAATAAAAATCCTTCGCAAATTTGCGACGGATTAAATTATCCGTCGCAAATTTCGAACGGTAAAAATTGGCTCGCAAAATTTGCGACGGACTCTCTATGTCCGTCGCAAATTTTTGACCTACAAAAAATTTCCCACGGAAATAAAAATCCGTCACAAATTTGCGCCGTAAAAAAAATTCCGTTGCAAATTTGCGACGGACTATATTGGTCCGTCGAAAATATGGACATACTACATGATCGTTGTAAATTTGTGACGTCTTTTTTTCGGTCAAAAATTTAGCATCTCATTTATTTGGGTCTTAAATTTGCTCCGTCTTTTTTTCAGTCCAAAATTTTGGCATCTCAAATTTTGTAATGGAAATTAGAATATCGGAAATGTTAGGACACGTTAATAATATTTGACTTGTCGGCATTTAGGGACAAAATTTCGGACGATCAATTAAAATAAAAAGAATAATCGACAATAACAATAATAAAAAAGCACAATAACAATAATAACAAGAACAATAATGATAACAACCAAAATAGCACTTGTAGCATTAATAATTACACATCTGTAGTGTTTTGTGACAAAAATTTTAATCCTCATCTTCGTCTTCGTCTTCGTCTTCGTCTTCGTCTTCGTCCTCGTCTTCGTCATCTATCTGAAAATCAGATTCTGAACATTCTTGTACATTTAATTCGCAAATTTCAGTTGGATCCACATCTATCATTGCTCCACACGGATCTCGTAAAGTTGGTATGTTATATTCCTCAATTTCAACCGTGTTACACACTTCCTCTTGTTGGTAGGCTCTATCCTTCCAGTGTTTCTCGATTTTCTTCCGTGCTTTGATTTTACATACAGCCCACCAATCAGCTTTGTCACGTTTCAAACTAGGATATGATGCATAACATACTTGAATTGCTTGTTGTGCCAAGACAAATGGTTCATACTTCATATACCTTTTCTTGTGATTTATTTCAACCGAATTGAACTTCGTATGCATCTTTATTCCTTTGACGGGGTCGAACCACGTGCACTTAAATAACACAACCCGCATCATTAATGATCCGGGGTACTCTATCTCTATGATTTCATCCAACAAGCCATAAAAATCATCTTCTGAACTGCCACCATCGGATGACCGAACAGACACACCACTATTCATTGTGGATTTTCCCATTCCATATTCTTAAGTATGAAAACTATATCCATTTATGAAATATGCTGGCCAACTTTGAACTCTTAACTGTGGACCCCATGACAAATGATATAGCAATCCTTGCCCTCCAATTTCATCATAATTACTGTGAATCTAAGGTTACACATGCAAAGTCAATAATATATATTATACTAAATGATGTATATAATTTTAATAACTTGGTTTTGGTCCATAGGCAACTTACATATGTCTTGAACCATGCTGCAAATTGTTTATCGCACAAACGGTCAAACTCATTTGGTTGTAGTCCAAATATTGAAGTTTGGAAAATCCTAATATTAAAAACCATATAAATATTAGCAAATATTTGACACACAAAACATATATTTGCAAATTTACACTTACTTGAACTATGGCTCGACTTCTGGGCAGTTCAGTAAAATATAAGTACGGACTGCATGAAAT